ATGGTTCTTTAGATTGCTAGGGAAATGCTTAAGAAATTTGTTGAATATGATTATTGCCTCAAGAAGCCCATTATGTGCACAATGAGCTGCCTGTGGAGAATTTTAGTGATCTTAAAGTTTTTTGCTAGCTTGGTTCTCACAGACTGCCTTTGTCTAAAATTCAAGTTTCTCCTGAGACCTTGAGTCTAATGGGGACAGAAGGTTACTGCAGCAGCAAGCTTTTTGAGATCTCTATTTTCTGATACTAGGCTTTGATGGTTGAAGAGTTCTGTTAGAATAAAATCTGCTAAGACCTGGCTTTCCTTTATGCTGCATCACTTAAGCTTAAACTGTGTTTATTGCAATTTCCATTGCTGTCTGGTTAATGAGCAAATTAGTTCTTTGCTCATTAGCAAAGAACTAAATCCTGTTTGTTCTGCAAACCAGCTTTGTTAACATATTTGGTGCTGTCCATTCTGGTTTACAGTGATTTAAAGGGCAGTTTACTAGGTGCATTTCATATAAATAAAGGCAGTTTGACCTTTCTCCTCACAAGAGCTTTGAGCTCTTATTATAATAAAATAAAAATAATAAATAATAAAAATAAAAACAACAACAAAGAAAAACCACTGCCATTGTTACACTCAGGGACATTGATTTAAGTTTTCTGTTAATATGAAATCCTGATTCAATTTTCCTGTCAGTATTATTAAACCTGAGAAGGTTTACAGAAGTTTTTTAGATTCACTGGAGTAAAAGCCACAGCAAAACTATCCATCTTACCAAGTTCTTCTGAACTCATATTATGTTATAAGCTCTTTTCTTGAAATTACATGGTGTGAACATACATAGGTAGATGGTTTGATGCCTGCATAAAAAAAAAATAAACTGTATTTTAGGATGGGTTTGTATGATTTGCAGTGATGTCAATGCATGTTGCAATGTTAAAGTCCTAGAATTTACTTAATTACACCAGCTATTAAAGAGCAAAGTAGTAATCATTAAAAATTTCCTGATGCTTAATTCGACATTTTTTAATGTCCTTACAGAATCCTCATATGGATATTTAGAGTAGAGGAGGGGCCTGAGAATCAAAAGCTTTAGCTTTGGTCCTCACTCTCCAACAGGGGAGGGCACACAACCAAAAAGATACAGATCACTCATACTTTGTTTTCCATGAGATTATCTTGAACTGAGAAATTGCAGCTAGCGAGACATTTGAAACAAACATAGATTGCTTTGCCCTTCCTATCCGTATCAAAGGAGTAACCGTGGTAAAATGAAATGTAGCCCAGGTAAGACCATGGGCTGATTATAACTAATGTCATTAGTGTTCAATGTATTTGTGTATGTTTTGTTTCCTACAATGATTTTTAGATGTCTGAATCTACTCAATACTTAGTTATTGAAGAAATTATTACAAAGTGTTTTCGCAGTATCAAACATAAAGAGACTCCTGTCTCAGTTTTAGTGTTCAATGGGTCTCTAACATAATGTCAAGCTTTAAAAAAGGAGCCAAAGGTTGTTGGCTGTTGTTTAATGAAGCTCTGTGTCATTATTATTATTATTATTATTTTTGACTTAGTAAGTTTTTTCCTAATCTTGGTGCATGAGTCAGAAGGTAACCCTTATTACATTTCTGCCATGTGCAGTGACTGGTGAGGTAGACTCTTTGGTGTGAAATATTACGCATTTGCAAATATACTCATAAGCAAGCAGATTTGCAAGTCAAATGTGGTGAATCAAAATCTAACTGATCAAAAAAAAAAAGGGGGGGAATGAGCCCTTTCTTGATAGACTATTTATTTGAAATAGCCAAAGATTGTAGTATTTCAGACCCAATTTAGTATATACACAGTCGAAGAGGAGTAGCCATTTTTAAAATTGTAGCAAACAGCTATATTGAAACTTAGCTCTCCAGCCAAGGGCTTTTGGTTACAGACTTTTTTTCTCTCATATAGCTGCTAAACAGATCATATTCTTTGTTATATCAGAGTGCCCGAGTTTGTAACTCGAAATTCTTATCCCAGGTAACGTGATTCAGGTTCGACCAGAGCTTCTGCTTTAGCATTTGCGTTATTGTGTCTGCATCCTCTGCAGGTCAAGTATTTCTTACTTGGGTAAACACAATCATAATTTTTCTTTACAGAAGTGCTTCTTTGCTTTATAGATAGCGGACACTTAGTGCCCACTCAGTGTTAAAGTTATTCGAAGTAGGTACTTGTTTAAGAGATTAGCTTATTTGTTATTCTATAAATTGAAGACTTGTATCCAATCTTTTTGGCTACCGAACTTAAGTGTCCTTTTTTTTTTTTTTTTTGCTAAGCAGAACAAGGAATAAAGCAAGGAATAAAATATGGAAAGCTTATGTCTTTGCTCTCTGCCTTTCTCATGCTGTCTTTCTTTCACTTGCTCTTTCACTCTCTTTTCTTCCTTCTCCCTCTTTCTCTCTTTCCCCAGCCAGGTTAGGCTTAGATAAAAGATCTATCATTTGCTTTAGATTTCTATGTGGTTTTAATGTGGCTGGTGTCTGCCTTCTTCAGAATCTTTTCATTTAAGTCAGAGAATCTCTAAAAAGTAGAAAAAAGTTGTACTATATATTTCAAGGCACAATTAGAAGTACGTTTGAACACAAAGCAAAGATTTAACATTCTTCAAAATATATTCATTTCTGAAGGCTGGTCCATCTCTGAAATTCCTCCACTGTTGCTTTAGGACTATTGTAACTATTATAACTACACCAACAGTGGGAGAATTACGGAAAGTTTGGCATATAATTTTTTTTTCCTAGCTACTTTTTGAGTGATTAAATACATCAGGTCTTTTTTATATAATAAAACTTGTGATATTACAGGTATGGAGAAATACCTTATGTAGATAGATGCAGGATATTCTATCAAAAAGTGTTAGTTGTATAGGAAAAATATTGCAGAACTTCCTGATTTTGCTACCCAGACCTTCAGTTGTGTGAAATATCTTTTGATTTAAACATACATTTATTCCTTATTGTGCAAAGTAGCACAATATGTTTGTAGCAGTAACTGAGGTAGTAATTTCAGTGCTAATTCGTATACATCTTCTGTGGACATAAGGTCAGCATGTTATGTTAGGTTCTGTGGCATTCTGAAAGAGTATAATAAAACTCTGGGAATGGTTGAGACTTTGGTTAAGATGCAAGCAAGTCTTCAACACAACAGAAAGCAACTCCGCTTTCAAATGTGCTTTCGGAGTGCTCACATTTAGAAGTTTATATTTGCTACTCCTTTTCAAAAGTTATTTTGACACGATGTCTGGGAAGCTGAGATTACTAGAATGTGTGTGTGTGTGTATATATATATGTCATATTTTTAATGTAGAAATTTAAAATATTTGTGCCTTTGTTTTAGGCATAATTAAACCAGGTCATAGTACTTCTGAAAGACAGCATCAGATTAGGTATGTATGATCTTTGATTTTAATGTAGATTTTATAAATTTTAAATTCCTGTAGATGGAACAGTTGCAAGTGCAGTTGCCTGCATGAAACACTTGTGGAATTTTCTTACTTGTCATTACAACTTCATTTTGCCTCAGCCTGTGTCAGTCAGTCTGCTTGGGGATATTCTTTGAGAATGCCTTCATGCAGAAGCTTTATATGCATAATTTAAAGATTGCTGTCAAAATGATACAGTTTTAAAAGTGAACGCTGTTACGTAAGTTGGTAAGATAATTTTATTTTTGTAATTTTAGGCAGTTATTTTCCATAGAAAAATATCTTTGTATATCTGTTAATGTAGAATAATATCTCATCCCTTTGAACTGCTCTACACCTCCTCTGTAAACTTAGATACCTATTATATCTACCTTAGATACATAAACTATGACATCACCGTGTTCATTCTCCTTCTGAAGGGCTTTCCTTTTTCTTCTGTCATTAGCTCAGATGTGCGTCTAACACATTCCTTACCACTCGTTGTTTTTTATGTCTCTGGCCTCACTCTCATTCATAGACTCTCGCCTCTCTTTATATCTTAATTCAAGGTTTTCTCACCCATGTAAAAACAAAAATTGCCCACTTTTTCATCTGCCTTCAGATATTTTTTTTTCCTTCTCTCCTGTAACTTAATTATTTATATTAACTGCCTTGACTCATTTCCTCCATTTCTCCACAGACTTTGTTTTGATTCAGATTTTTACAAGGAATATACTTGAAGCAACTCTTACTAAGCCTTTAAATAAACTCTTCCAAGTTACAGTACTTCATTTTCTTGATCTGCTATTTGCCATTAGCATTTTCTTCCTCTTCTTGAAATCATAGGGTCTTTTGACTTGCCGTTTTCTGATTCTCCTTCTTAAGAAACTGTTCTTAAACACCTTTTTGAAGGATATTAGTTTATCTGTCCTTCTGATTTCCTCTGGATGTTGTATATAGCTTTATTATTAATTCTCTTCTATTTTCGTCTTTACCTAAACTTCATGTGTACAAATTCATCTACCTTTGATTAAAATAATGAGTTTAGCTCTATAGGCCAGATGTGTTGTGTTCTGTCCGTATTTAATTTTAGTTTTTCTCTCTAAGATCTCTTTATGGCTGCGTGAACATACATTTGGGTTCTGCACAACTGCAAGTCATAATTGTCTGTACCCGAAGTCTCATCCACTGCCTCCTGTTTTTATCATTGTAGAAGATAATACCTACCTTGACCACTCTGAGATCTGAACATTCACTTATATTTGCATATCTAAGACTTTACATCCAGGATATATCTAACTGTGGTAGCCTTTTTTTTTTTTTTTTGTCTGACTGGCATCTCTACAATAAAGCCTTTTCTATCAATATGCACTTAAAACTTTTGCTCAGGTTCACAGGGCTGTCTATCATGAATGCAAAATCTTCTCTGGCTTTATAAATGCATCCTAGTCCCTGAAATGAGCATTCAGGACCCTTCTGCAAGGAACGTTTCTATAGCCATACCTTCAACCCTGCCATTTTCTGTACGTCCTCTTCTACTTCTAATGGTGTAGCTTTTTCTGCCCTTTAAAACCAAGTCTTTTATTTTTCCTTTTGAACTTCTTGGCATATCACCATCCAGTCTGCCCTTTTCCAGCCACAGAGCTGAATCAGTAATGGCAGCTTCCTAATGCTCAGGTGTTGAAGCCAGCACATCTCTGCCCCTCACACAACCATCAGCAATGGTTGAGAAGGAGTTAAAGAATATTTGCTACTTCTACCATCTGAAAAGCCAAACTACAGTTAAAATGACTTGCCTTTTTTTTTTTTTTTAATAGAGATTACCTTGGAGGCCTGGGTTCAAGAATGCAACCAGGTAATTTTGTGGTTTCAACAATCAAACTTTAACTGAAAATAAACATAGCCTTCCACCTCTTTGCAATCTGAAAAACAACGGTATTATCTAACAAGATACAGCTCTGTATAAGTCTGTCTTCTAGCACTTGTTAAGGAAGTCAGTGGGGAAATTCAACAGGATAAAATGCTAATAGTTCAGTTGGAGACCAGTTAATTTTGGTGTTTGGATTTCCTCTGCCTCTCAGTGGAATTTTTCTTCCTGTTACCAGATCACTTGAGAAAAAAGAAAGAAAAAGGTAGATGTGAATGTGCACGTAAGACTTTACGATCTTTAGGTTGTTCCTGTATGAAGAAATTTTAGAATCTGGATCCAAATTTGTCTCTAAAACATAGTTTAGAGATGAATTAATTTAAGAGAGACACAGGTTTGATAGCTGAAGTTCAATACGTGGATCTAAGTTTCCAGGCTTAATACTCCTATTGGAAAAATAATTTTGTAACTCAGTGTTCTTTAATGGTAAGTGTTTTCTAGTGGCAATCTCCTGATAAGTTTATATTTAGTCTCTGGGACTGACAGTGTAAAATGACTTGTCTTGTTGATCAAGATCATGTCTTGGATTAAATGGATGTTTATGGCAGGTCCTAGATAGTAGCTCCGTAGAGGAAATATACTTGCAATTTCAACGTTGTTTGTCAGTTCTGCATACCAAGAACTAAATATTTTCATTTAACTGCTATATTTTCTTTCATCTCTTTTTTACACAAAGCAGTACATGAAAAATTATAAATTTATTTTGCTGAAAGAAAAGCATAGTTTTTATTCAGGCATGACTTCCTTTACAGCATTTTTATTAATGAAGAATATACATTTTATGTGTGGATTTGCTAGATAGTGAATAATACTGTAGCTTTAGAGGAAAAGATTTAGATTTACATTTACTTACAATTTTCATGAAATGAAATTTAAAATATCAGATTTTTTTGGCCCTTGTAATAATAATTATTAATTTTGTTGCCTTTCATGCTTACTTAAATAAAATCAGCAAAAATTTAATTAAAATGAAATGAGGAAGCCAAAGCGTTTGAAATACTGCAATATTTTTTATTCCAAAATCATAAAGTATGATTTTTCCTTTCAGTTCCAAACAGACTGTTTTTTATTTTAGAGTTTATAGTACAAAATGCAGTGTCATTGTTATAGGGATTTGATTGATGCTTATTAGCAAAGATCTCTTTTGTAAACACAATTATATAGCTAAGCACTGGAACGTGAGTTTTGGTGGGCACATATATTTGGGTGTGCCTAGTTATTGCCTGTGTTGTTAAACAGTAGCTAAAGGAAATGTTCAAATGTAGTGTTATAAAAATGAAAAATTATTTTGAACATTATGTTAGAAAGGAATAGAAACGTCTCACAGAAACTTTTTTTTCTCAGAGCAATTGAAACAATGCTCAGACAGACAATTTCTTGTTGTCAGTTCTCCAGCTTCTTGATCTCATCCTAGTCAATGAATGGTTCTCTTCTAAGCTGTCTGTGTCTGTAGTGTACAAGTCTACTTGAAATGGTAATGCTTAGAAAATTGCTATATCTGGAGTTTTATTGAGAGAGAGAATTTTTTTTTTCAAGCCTGACAAAACATGCAGTTTCTGTATTTGCCAAGTCTTTCATTTTTCTTGAAACGGGCCAGAATAATATACCATGAGGTGCATAAAAATTTCATTATATATACTGTATATGTAATGTGCATAACTCATTACATGCATACATATGTGGTAATTGAATCAATGTTCATATTTGTGGTTAGCTTAACCTCATGCATTTTTCTATCATTATATAACTAGCTTTGCATTTAAATTTTTTAAAACCAGCTGTTCCTTTACATTTACACGTCAACACAGTACTTTTTTTATGGAGTTTACAAATGAAAACAATGCACAGTCTGTAGTAAAGAGCAGTTGTCTGTATTCTTTCCTTGAGAGGGATGAGAACACACAGAAGAGTATGTGTGCATTTTCCACAGCATTACTCTTTACTTAGTGTTGATTTTTCATTTTAAGCCTTAAAAATACCACTTTTATGCACGTTACAGTGATTTCATTTAGATCATAGAGAATGCTTATGGCGGTCTTTGCATATTTTCCATTAACACGTTTCATACTCATGCTTTAGATAAAATGATCTCTGGTAGGAGGGATTTTCTGACAAAGAGCAGAAACTACAAATTCTCCCATGGAAGAAATCTTGAACTTTCTCTCAAAATCTGTTGTAGATACTAGGAAAAAAAGTACATGTTGCTAAAGGCAAGTAAAAGGATATTTTGATAAAAAGGTTTTCCAGATTGTCCACATAAGACATTGTATTGGAATTCCTATTTCTTTTTTTAAATGTATGATTAGTTATAGTTAGTATGATTAGATGTTAGTCTACGTGGAGATGAAGATCGGTTTATCATGTCTTTAGTTTTCTATCATATCTTCAGTATCTTTAGTCTTATATATGAATAAATGTGGAAAATATATTATTAGCAAGGAACATTAATGCTTCTTTTCTTTCTGATAGAGAAACTTAGTATACAGACCTCAGGAAAGATATTTTCTTTTGAAACACATGAATTACACTACCTAATTTTTTAAGTTTCCAGTTACTCTTTTTTGTTTCCAACACTGTTGGAAAAACAAGTCATGCATTAAAATTCAATATATTAATCTACAGTTTGCTCATACTAAATACAAATGCTGCTACTAATACAAAGAGGCTACAAAATAAGCTCTCCTGATTTTAGTGTTGTCATCTACAGCATCGTCAGGAATTGCTGTATCACAAAGGAAGGTGCATCAGATCAGTGACCCTGTTCAGCAGATCCTTATTCAGCTCCACAAAGTTATCTTCATCACTCAAGTATGCATTACTGTTGCTTCTGACATTCTGTCTTAGCTATTTGCTGTTGTCAAAATGATGGTACTGCAAAGTGCTGCTAATTTAGACACTCTTCTTTAAAAACAACAGAACTTGACATTTTTGCATATGGCAGGATGTTTTAAAAATACATCATTTAAATACAGACTAACCTTGAGTATTAGTATGCGGAGGATGGCAATAATATGAAAAAAATCCATTCGCTTACCTCAGATAAATGAATTGCACAGTAACTTATTTTTATAACATTCTGTCATGCCAGTAATATGAATATTTTAAGTGACTTACGTGGAAATCTCATAAAATGCTTTCCTCTGTAATAATAATTTCTATGTGATATTTTGTATTATTAATAAATACTGGTAATTTCATAGGATTTCAAGTGCAATAGTTCAAATCCTGAGTGTGTTAGTTTAAGTATTTCAAAGCTTCAGTACAGGTGTTTTTCAGACTTATGACTGTGTTTAAAATATTTCATAATGAAAGATAATTAAAGTTATTTCATACTAAATGCTAAAATAAAAATGGATTTGCTATAGATCCACATTGAACTCTCAACTGAAAATGTAGCAGAAGAGTTTTTGCTCTCGAGGGTGATGGCTCACATTGTTGCTCTCAAAATTTGCTGTTTTTAATTAAACATCTTTTTCCCTTCCAAAATGAAAGGTTTATACTTGGCAAATGATATTTATCACCACAGTGGCTTTCCTATTGCTGAGCTCCATTTGTACCATTTCTTTTAAAATTGGTTAGCACAGTTGAACTCGGGTATATCTACCATGTGTTGTTTAATTTTTTTTTGGAACTGGCAGACTTATCCAAACAGATAATACAGGAAATGAGTGATCAGGAACAAAGAAGAAAAAAGTCATTATTTAAAATTAAACCGAAGTTTTGAACTTCAATTTAAATGGTTTTAATCTATTAAAATAACAGTAAAAAAAAAGAGTGATTTTTTTGCCAGAATGGTTCCATTGTCTGCTGCCAGGAATGAAGCAGGTTTTTATTATGCGTCTAAGATGCTTGTATTATCCTAACACAGACACCTGAAAACTCAAGAATGAAAAAACAACTCAAACATTAGCCCCAACTTGGCTGTTTAAGCAATCATAACAACTTTGATACTCTCCATGAAAGTTTGTTTCAGAAAGGGAAGGCAGAGGAGGCAGGATCCATGCCTGTGCTTCTTCGCTGTGTGCTCTTTGCTTCTCTTACACTTGTTTATAATCTTACAAAGTAAGATCTTTTAAAGTAACCCGTCTATTTTCTAAAGCCCTCAATTGCACATTTTAGCTGACAACTCGAAACTGAAGTTTTGCAGGGAGAATTTGTAACTGTTAGGTCTGGCTGTCAGCAGCCTTTCCAATCCAGTTGCCATGGAAACAAGAGGCAGCTGAGTCTATGGAATATAATGTAAAAGAAAGTTTTTAGAAAAGCATTATGTAAATCTTTGTCTTGCCTTTTTTTTTTTTTTTTTTCCTTTGGACAGTAAAGCACAAGCTAAAATTGAACACTGGTGCATAAAGCATATCTGAATTTCTGGTGCAGGGGCACCTGTCCTTTGTCACCTCTGCTTCAGAGTGTCCCATTATGTCACTAGAACATACAAAGTTCATTGTTGTGGCAGGCTTTTTCTAGTGCATCATTTTTTATTCATTTATAGGTTAAGGACATTCAACATTTGCTTGCAACATGCATACAAGGCATCATGAAGAGACAGTACCACCTCACTATAACAGAAAGCTGTCTGCAGTCGCTGAAGTCTTTCAAGCCTAGAATTTAATCTTGATCTAAGGTTTGCGGCAGCAGATCAGGAGCAGTTCCTGTGCTGCTATTCCAGATTTAGAGCTGTCTAAGTAGAGTAGTTCTTTCCAGAAGGAAAATTTCTTTGTAATTTGTACCACAACGTTGTTATAAATATGTCAGTAATGGCCAAACCGTTTCTAGGTAGTCAAAAAGTGTCCTGAGTCAAAAGGAGCAGCACTCTGTGAATTCCCATTAGTGAACTGCTTATAAAGTGTTTACAAAATGGTAGGAAATCACAGTATAGGAAATCACTCCTATAAAAAAACAGAAATAGAGTAGAGTAGAAATAGAGTTCAAATGCTAATGTATATCATAGAATGATCATCAAACTGGAATGGTGACAGATGTGAGTATCAATATCAGTGCAGTGACCAACAGCTGAAGCTTTACACTTACTGTTGGAGAAGTGGTTTAAAAAATCTCAAACAGCAAAAAAGGGAGCTCCTTTGAACTGCTTGTAGATGAATTTTTAAAACCCAATAAAGTATGCCGTGTGCTTTCCTTTTGTAAATACAATAGCGAGATGTGTGTTTTTAACCCCAAAATACAGAAGAAAAACTATACAATATCAGATTTGTTGTATAGTTTATAGTCAAATGAAATGTACGTTACCTCCCAGAGGAAAGTTCTGGTAAAAGGGCTGGCCTGAATTATATTAAGATATACAGACAGTCCTCAAAAAACTCTTTGAAATCATGAGGAAAGGTCTCATTAATTTCTACATGCATTGGTGAAGGACTTAGACTCTTGTAGTTCAATTAATTTCATCCAGAGTAACTCAAAGTAGCTAACATGAAATCTACCCTAACTTTCTGTGCAGTGTGTACTGTTTTCTCTTTGGTTTCATCTGTAGAGAAATGTCCCAAATATCAGGACTTGATCACTTTGGTTAGAAAGGCAAATCCAGTTTTACCTGTATTATGACCTTGGGTTTTTTTTAACCAATTTAATGACTTTTTTTTTTTTTTTAACCTTTTCCTTCATGGCTAGAGTGACTAAGATATAAGATATGCCAATCCTAATAGAACGGGTAAACTAACAGCCACCACTATTATATGCCATTAAAACAGCTTTTGTACTGTTGTTTATCTCTGTACTATTGAATGTCAATGTGGCATTTTTTTGCAGTATAATTACTTTTTTCAATAATGGTGCTGGTGATCAAATTATCTTCACAGGAGATGTAACCACGCAGTGATAAAATAACATGACATTCTGTGTCTCATTTAGCTTCCTCCAGCTTTGCAGTGCAACATGAAAAGGAGAGTCATTGAGAGATTCAAGAAGTCCCTCTTCAGTCAGCAGAGCAATCCTCGTAACCTTAAATCAGAAATGAGAAAGGTACAGTACACCTATTTTATTATCAATGGCAAACTTTCTCTCTTCTATTTAACCCATTAGTAATAATATTACAAAAATAGAAGTGTATGTCGCAATTTTTAAAGGGAATATTTAGCATATACTCTGACTATTGCTTATTTGGAAAATTATGGAGGCTTCTTAAGTGTAGTTAATACTGATTTGTTTCAAGTGTGTGTTTGATCATTAAAACATGTAAATGTAAAGGTTCAACTAGCTGCTAATATGCAAAACAAAATCCATCTCATCGGTGCTCAGAGAAAGAAAAGAGAAAAGAAAATGTAACTTTCTGTGCCAAAGTATTATTTCTGTGGCAAAGGGCTGCGAAAAATTATGTAAGCTTTTCTTAATTTATACAAACTTCTCCTAATTTATTATTAGCTTGCTAATATTTCTCATGATTTGAAATGACTTCCTGCTTAAATGGTGAAAGCACTTAAGCTGACCCAAGTGTCCTGAGCATAGAATATCTTGTCCAATTGTTGAGTAGTGTGCCAGCAACAATTTAGTGTCTTGACTTCAGCAATACTGCAGATTTGCAAGAATCGCAAGACTGAAGAACCATGCGTGCCTGTTTTCCAGTGACATGTTGGACACTTTCCAACACAGAAAGAGCCCTTCATGGCTAATATTAGAATTTCTAAATGTTCCTTCTTCAAAATCTCCTGAGAGGACTGTACTCAGTAGAGGATCTGAAAATGACATCTTCAGCATCTGGGTACTGAGGGAGACTCTGAAGCTTAGATATTTCACTCTTGGATTGATGACAAAGCAGTTTTGTAGGTATACTAGTGTATCCAAAATTTGATGACAAATATCATTTTTAATATCACTTGGGATATAAGAGATGGAAATTCAAGTCCTTCCTGTGCCTAGCCATACTTGCATTGCAATGTAGACTCTTATAAATCATTGCTTGCTATGGAAGGGAGTGATCCCAGTTCCCAAATTCTGTCTACTTTCATAGTTTATCTGAGACAGTAAAGCTTTGTGGAAGGTGGCTAGTCAGTGTTTACATAGGTAGTGCCTTTGAAAGACACTTAAAAACGAATAGTCTCCTTCCAAGGCATCAATTTCCTGCCAGTTTGCTGTCAGTAAATCAAGCTGGGATTTACATTAAACAGTTCCTGTATTTCAATTATATACATCTAAGGAGATTTTTCTATTCATTTACTGAATATATATTTCCGGGATAGGGTACTCAAAGATAAGATAAAAGAAGTATTTATTAAAAAACCAGCCAATTTTACAAATGTCCATAAATAAAGGAATCTTTTTATTTAAAACTTTAAAATATTATTGACTCTAAAATGGTGTTAACTTCAAAACTCTCAGACATAAGCCTGAAATAAATTGAAGACACTTGAAATGCTTAAATTCAATTTTGGGCTTTAATACAAAATACATTAATACAAATTATTTAAAAATGACAACAACAACAAAAAGCAAAGTTATAAGGATGAGGAATTGCTTAACATCAGTAAGTAAATGATGCATATTTTAATCAGTGAAAGTCAACTAAATTCTTCTATGGGTCAATGATGAGTATAGGTATTCCAACAACAGATATTCTTCTGTTTCTGTAGCTTCAGAAGTCCCTGAATGAAAAGTGTTAACATGTTGCAGAAATGCACAACTGAAAATTCTTTCTTGCCTACAAAAATATTTTCATTTCAAAGGTGTAACAATAAATATTTTCAAAACTAGACTTTAAAAGTTTGGTGTCAGTTGATCAAGTAGCTCTTCGGGTAATCAAGTAGCTGAACAGACTTCCGTGTTTCAGCAGTCCCACTAACAGAAAGTATACCACTTGAATATCCACTAAATTTCACTTGAGATCCAGTTTTGAAAACCAAAGTCATTGACTGTTTCTCTCTCAGATTTGAGAGAACAGACTGCCTTCACACAAAGGTGTGATAGATAGACCAAATAGATAGAACAAAGAACTCTGTGCTTTAGATAGACCAAAGAACTCTATGCTTTATACCCAGTGCATTTTGGCAGCTTGTTCAGTAAATGTCTCTACAGAGAAGGTACCACACTCACAGTTGTGTTCACCATTTTTCGTTAATCTAACATGTACTGAAATCTTCTTTGACCTCGAGTAGTGGTGGGAAACATAGGAAACTGTACATTCCTTATAGATATCCAAAGTTTTGGCAAAAAGAAAGAGTGGGCATTTCTGATATCCTCTTTACTTTTTTCTCTTTTTCCCTGCCACAGCTGCTCCAAGGTTCTCCTGAACTGATTGAGCCCAACTTCTTTACAGCAGATTGTCCTGTGTCACTTCTCTCTTCAAGTAGAAATATATTGATTCCTGATGATAGAAAAGGTAAAAGAAAGTATCAAAACCTCTGTCATGGCATATATTTTTCTAATAAGGATATGGGACTGAAGTGGAAGGAACTCCTGCTCAATGGGCATGGTTTTGTGTTGACTGTACTGACTTTTAGTATCAATAGGTGTTCTTTTTTTCCCTCTCTCTCTCCTCCTGATAAGAGGTGCAGTTTATCACTGGTGGAACATTCTACTAATTTAAAAGAGTGTATTTTTGAGTTATGAAAGATACCAATCAAACATTTTTCTTATAAAAATCAACAGGAGTGTTTGTGACTACAAGTATCCTGCTTAGAATTTGCCTACCCTTTCACATGTTCTTTAAACAAACTGTATTTAAGCTCTATGTTGTTCTTGTATTTAGAACTTAGATATGCTGTGATGATTTAATTACATGTCTGATTCAGCCTCAGAAATAAAGAATACACACAGTGACAAACCATGAACTCCATCTTCATTGAAACCCACTAGTACTGGCAGCATCTAAGGTCAAGAACCCCAATTCTTAAGCAAGAATAATATGTTCCATAATATGTCTCTTTGTACAATAAAGGCAAGAGAATATTGAAGGGGCTTAAGGGAAATATGCGGGTTGTATTTTGTCATTTCCATTCTTCTAAGTGCAAGAAAAGTTATGTTTGCAATTCATAGGCTAGAGGACATAGAAGGATTAAGAACAGTGGTTACTGAAAGAATGGAAGCTTTGTTTTTGCGGACCTTTGGGTTGAAACAGGCATATTACTTCCACAGCCTGTTGTAAAAACAGACATTAATACCATCTGTCAAGGATGATACCTGAGAAAGAAACATGTCTCTAACAGTCACTTTAAATGTGAACTTTATTTTGTTCCCTGAGACAACCATGCAAATTGATCAAATGGTCACTTTCTATAATTTTTGGATCCTTTAACAAGCAAATAATACTTTTGTTTTATATACAATTTGCCTCTTTCCACTACAAGTAGTAAGTGGGAAGAAAAGTGATGCCGTATTATATTCTTTCATGTTAAATATTTCTAAAAAATCAATACTTTTCCATCAGTTATGACTTTTCTTTATAACGTAATGTGCTGTCCCTCAATTGTTCGCATCATACCATAAGGCCCCTTTCAGCTTTGCAAAGGGTCATGGTGCTCAGTGCAATAAACTATTGCTCATCAAAACTAACTTCTTATTAAACAAGTTTCTCCGTTGTCAATATGTTTACTTTAGAAGTACTCGGAAACTGAAACTGAGTACATGGACTCAGAACTGAGTAGTATATCATTACTTGCCTTTAAGGTATTGTTGGCACTTTTGACACAGCAGAAGGGATGACATATGAACAGTTGCAGGTAAGATTTTTATATATTTTAAGAAATAATGTTATTTTGTTGCTCAAGATAATTTTACTGAAGCAAATTTCTTTTAACTTGTAGACTCTAATTGAAGAGGTTTTAGAAGAAACTGGTTATTACAATTTCTCTTCTAACAGGTGAGCCCAAATGTTCAATTTAAAAATGAAAAATTAAATTTTGTTGTGTTAAAGAAATGTATAATTTTTCTGATTTTGGAATTGCAATTTCACTTTAAACTTAGCGCAATACACATTTCGTTATAACACCATAGATGCATGGACTGGAAGAAATTGATTTGGGACACATTAGCTAATCTAAGCTGTTTTGGCCACATGGTTTCCTCACTCAAATAACAAGACAAGTTTGGCAGCAATTTCCTCATTTTTTCATATAAAGCCATAGTTGTAAAAGAGATCATCCTGCTCATTTTAATTGAGACACATTATAATACTTTGTTTTATTATAACATCTGAAAGTATTAAGCTGACAGATATAGTAAAATGAGTACAGCAGAAAACACGGAAAAAATGGTTGCTAAAAGGGAAAAAATAAAGTTTTTTTTTTTCTTTAAAACTTTAGGTTACACTTGTTCAAAGATCATTTTTGCAGCCATGAGATCTGACAATTTTGTTCCTAAGTATTCTCAAATAGTTGAAATTTTTGTCTTAATCAAATGCTGCCAAGATGGGGAGCTGTAGGAAAAATATGAAATAGTGAACAACTAGTGATAAAATTATGGAAAAAGCTCTCACTGTGAACTTCAAGATCTAGCAGGCCTTTTTATAAATTTATAAGTGTGTTGTCTTTGTACAGACTTTTAATTCCTAAACAGACTGGAAAAAAGCATCTTATTGCAATTAAATGTAACTGAGCAGAATATTGAATGTGGACATGAGGCTTTTACACTCTAGTATAAAAATGAGATATCAATGGAAATGTATAGAGTGCTTAAAGATTATGGTAAAATATGCTTTCAACATGTAACAGGAATATGACATAAACGCACAGGAGAAGAAGCAGTAAAATAATTAATATTCTGTTTTCTATTGACAATGCTTCTTTATAACTACTTATTTTTCTGCTGTGCTGGAATTTCCTCCAGTGCAATTGTTCTACAGAATCATAAAGATTTTCTTTTGTGTTTTTGGAAATTTCATTTTAGAGGAGATATGAGGCCATTCTTCATGGCCACACAGGAGGACAGTGTAGTGTAAGTTATTTCTTCCCTATGCCGTATCTGTCCTGCAGGAAGGAGCTGGAAGAAAATAATAAGCTGGGTCAGTACATTTCCACACATACATAAAGGCTAAAGAAGTCTGGGCAATGTTCAGCATTGTTGTTGACTCTGGTGGATGTGGTCTGTGATATATTTGATTTTCTCAGGAACACATTAAAAAGTAGAAGTCAAATTGTGGCTCCCCTGAGTCATGCTGGTTCCCCAGCAGTGCTGATTTGAGCTTCATTCATGGGACTTGTGGCAAAGGCAAAACTGACTCTGGAGAGGGTGAAAGGAGTGGAGTAAAATCTTCTCTTTCAAAGCATGTTGCCTAAATTTTGGCTTTTTTCTGTTTCTTGCTTACAGTTGTTGATGTGCATGTAACAGCTGTATGAGGCTTTGACCCACTCCAGTGCCTATGTGTTATTCTAGCATGGCTGGCATTGGCTGGCACATAAAGAACAGCCATACAGATGCCTGAGTGTTGAGCTGCCACTGGCAGCAATAGGTGCCCTCAATTTTTCACCACGCTATTGCATCCTATTATCTGATGTGATGCGTGATTACATTTGGTTCTTCTGTCACTATTGCTCCTTTTCCAGTCCATGTTCCACTCCCAGATAGTTATATATTTTTCTCTGTTTTTTCGCTGTTTCAGAAAATGTTTTGACACACATACTTTGGCCTTGGCTGTCAAAAATGTCCTTCTCAATTTCTAGAAGACTTACCACGTCTTCAAAACTATTCTCAGCTCAGTGCTACTTAGAACTTTCCGAACTCGGGCTTATTTTTTTTCTCCCTAACTCTTCGTCCAAACAACCAAACAGTTCAGTTTTGATAGCTGTCCAGTATCAAATGATTCATTTGGCCAGCAGACATGCATCATTAGGTTTTGCCTCAAACTCTCCAAACAGCTTAAGCAAGCCAAAAGGACAAATCACTCTCGCAAGCTGCAGTCCAAACCATTTATCAGTGTCCACTGTTATTTGGCTTTATTCTAGTACACAGAAGTCAGTCTGCAGCCTGCAGATTAACATCCTAACAGCCATTTTTGCCTAGAGCTGTTATGAGCTTTACTCCACTTCCTCTCTGTTATATATAGTGAATCATTTCAGAAACAACTGCAAATTTTTACAGCAAAAACTCAGTGCACCCTGTGTTTTTCCTGGGAATTCCTTTCTTAGAAAAGTATTTGGAAGGAGAGATTTGGGAAAAAGAAAAAACATGGGAGTAATAAGTGTCTGTATCTTGTTAGTGCTAGGAACACATAGAAGGGCAGCACTCCTGTTTTTAACTTTCCTAGGTTATTTAAAATGCTTTTACTCTGCACTGAGGTCTTCAATTTCTAGAATGGGAAGTTGGAGTGAGGCAGCCTGTGTGAGGCTCTGAAAAGGAAAACAAAAAGTAATATTTCTAGTGGGGAAACAAATTGTCTTCCCTCTTCCTAATAACAAGTTTCTAGCTCTTCCAATACAAGAGTGAAAAAATGAACCCCAAAGAAACCTCAGAAGGCACACCAGATTACTACTATTTTTTTTTTTGAGTTTCTTATTTTTAAAGCTTTTTCTTCGCTTTAGGGCCATTTTCTTGATGATTTCTGAACACTGTGACTTAATGAGATTGGCTCCATATGCTGTAAATCTACAAGATGAATTCTGTTTTTAAACAATGGATTCCTATGCAAAACCATGGGGCATGTGTGCACTTTCTAAAAGTGCTATTAAATACAGAATGAGTAGCTTGACTGCATATAGTGTAATAATGAAGTCTCTTGCCTTATTATGAAGCAGGCTTTATACAGAAAAGAGTTTTGAAATATATTTGCTTTTTTTTTTTTTTTTTTTTTTTTTTTTTAGAGAGTGTGTGTGTGTGTGTGTATCCCCAGCTCAAGGTATTTATGACAGGACACCAAATCTTAAGTGGGGAGGTGGCATGGAAATTGTATAAAATGAATAAATTGTATAAAGGGTTAAAAATGATTCAAGCACTTGATTGAGAGAAACATTAATTCTTTAGAAACTGAGAGACAGCTTCATAAGAAAAATGTCATGCTTCTTTTTTCGTTTTCATTATAATAGTAATTACTATCTCAATACCAGTCATTTCATGGGGATTAATGACCAGCTGAGGATAATGACCCTCAGCTTTATCTTGAATAATCAACTTGTGCCCATTTGTCACTAATCCCCTGAAATTACTCAATGCTCAGATTGTGTTACTTATTTATGCAGACCCCCTAGTAAACACATATAAAAAACCTAAATGTTTCAAAATCATTCTATTCACACCCATCCTGCTCTTATTTCTTTTTTTTTTTTGCCTATCCTGATATAATATCATACCACTCAAGAGACAAAGTTTTTGTGCAACATTTGATGAACAGCACAATGAAAATTAGTTTCAAACTCTCATCTTCATCTTTATTTCTTCTACTTCTTTATTGAGGTAGACATACCAAATCGATGCAAAAAATCTGTTTTTAATTAATTAAGAGACTTAATCCAAGCAGCAACTCAATTATATAAGAAAGATTCATTACCAGTAAACAAAAGTAGCAATGATTAGCAACAATATTCTGTTCAATTGATTACTGCAGCCCACTGCTAGTATAAAGGCAAAGTTTTATTGCACGTATGACCTGAAATCTGTGTACGGAAGAAATGTTCTTCAAGATTAGTTTTGTAGGACACAGAGCAGTAGTGGTGTAATATAAGAATAAAAGGAAATGGTGTTCATAATGAAGTACATTAATTAATATGTTGTCATTTATCATCTTTTAACCACTTTGTTCAATGCCTCTTTTTTATTTTTATTGGAATTTTAGAATTAGAGAAATTTAGAATTAGAGAAGGGTTTGTGTAGTAGCAAAGAGATATTCCAGAAAGAGGACAACTGTCAACTCTACTTGTAATGGTAGTTATACGTTATTAGGTAGTCAAAGAATTGCCCAAGGTGTTACAAGAGGGTAATATCACTCAAGAATGACAGCAGATTCTGCATTTTTACTGTTTGAGGGAGGCTTCATTTGTCTTGGCGATAATGGTCCACTGGTACATCGTTCAAAAATATAAACACATTACTGCTTGCTTGCAAATCCTTACCATTTTACCTATATATTCTTCAATATTAATTTACCTATTGTGTTAATGATTAAATTATTCTTTTTTTTTTGTGTACCAAACTAGCCAGACTTTGTGATGTCTGGGTGTTTTTAAAAGCGCTGCTGCATGTTAGTCTGTTCTTCCACCACTACCTATTGATGTTGTCTTGCATTTTCAGTTAATTGATGACTTCTTCCAAGTGTTTATCCACATTGGCTCATACTTCTCACCTTTCTCATACGCAGAACAAAATTATTATGGCCAGCAGCATTTACTAGAGCCATACCAGCAAACTGTTGGTTTATATCTCTCACAAAGAATATAAAAGGCTGACAAAACTCAGCAGTCTCTTTTTTTCTTCATCCATGGCTGCAATTCAGTTGCACGTAGGCAGTCCTCTTCCCGCAAGCCAGCATTTACCACATCTTTTGAGTTAGCTGTCCTTCCACTAAGAGGCAGTGTAGGCCTATATTTCATAAATCACAGATTCTACAGAAATTATTAGAAAAAGGAGGAGCAGCCTGAAAACATGGAGTAACAACTGACATTGCCTGCAGATTTATGCTGTGATAAAACAGTGGCTAACCATTGTCACGTTGGTGAATAGAGAGTGTTCCAAAGGTACTACAGGGTGTTCCAAAGACAAAGAAATATGTGGCCAAATGGCCACATTTTAGTCATTTAGGATTAAAGAAATTTACTGGACATAGTTTGCCAGTGAATAGTATGTGCACTGCACTTTTCATGATTGCTGGAGACATGAATTTTACCAAGGGATTGTTCGAGCCACATCAGTAGTCGCTGTGTTCAAAAAAGAAGACAGGTATACCAAGCCTTACTATAAATGGTATAGTGGAGCTCTAGAGAGATAATGACTTATAGAGGAGGATAATAGAGCACAGGAATTAGTGCTAACTGAATCTTTAGATAGTTTCAGGAAAGCTCTGGTCATCTCAGAGTGGCCAATAGTCCAAGGGCACAAAATGTGTTTTTTTTTTCTTTCTTTTTCTTTTTTCTTTTTTCTTTTTTCTTTTTTCTTTTTTCTTTTTCTTTTTCTTTTTCTTTTTCTTTTTCTTTTTCTGATTTATGATACCAAAACAAAATACTTTTTCCACTTTGGTTAGTAAGTCCATTTAATTAAGATTTCTATTTCAGATTGTTTTCTGTGAAACAGAATTATGGGAACTACAGCAGAAGCTGTTGGTTTCTTTAGAGTTTTTCATCATTCAGACTACTAGATTGTCTAGCATCCAGATTCCTAGGTGTAAATTACTTATATGCAGACCTAGCTGTAATTTATGAGATTATGTTGAGCAGACCAAGGGTGTGATCCAGGGATCCATCTGGGGCAAGTACCAAAATAAGCTGATCCTGTGGTAGGACTATCACTGACGTAGAAGCTTGCTCCTTGCTCAGTTCACTGAAGATTATTTTAGCAATGCGATAGGTGGAAGCATGCATATCAGTCCCTATATTGAAAAGATGGAGGGGTATCTGGCCTGCTACAAAATTTTGGATGCCTGGTGTATCCTGAATTGTTGATACAGTTCAGTGATAACATAAAATTAAATAGCCTCTTGACAGTGCAAATGACTTAAGTCTGCATTGTCTGTAGAAATAGTGCATGATTATGAAGCTGTCTGTCAGCATTTGGACCATGGAAATGACTGTTTTCAACACTAGGCAGATGGCTCTGATCCCTTGCAGAGATCACATACCCAGAGCTCTCAGACATTCTTATATGAGCTTCCCATCTCTGAATGGAAGCATCTGTCAGCACAGATTTGTTTGACTGAGATAAGGTTGGTTTGCTCTTCCAAACTTTGTTCTAAAGTGGGCCTATCTACTAGTTTGAGGAAAAGATTTACTTCACGAATCACTTCTGTGTGTTCATGAGATGTCAGCTTGGCAAATTTCTTTTTATAGAGCATAGATGATGTCTATATAAATAACATCAAACATGAAGACATGTTGCTAGTCTTGGTGGTTCACAAAGCTCACTGTAGCTGGAATCATTCTTGTGCTAGCAGGCGTCTATCTTGCCTGACTCTCTGGACACCAAGAGGTTGCAAAGATAATCTTTTATGGCTTGAGGCTTTCTTGGTTTGCTTAAGCTAGGGCAGTTCTACTGAGATGAAAGAAATAGATCTCCTACCAAGATGTTATTGAATGGAGTTTTGGGGTGTGGCTTTTTTCTTGGCTGAGTGAAAGGCAATCTGAAAGTTTTCTAGTAGATGGAAGACATGATTGGCCTTAGTGTTCAAAAGTCATAGCTATATGAAGATAAGTTCTTTAAAACTGTCTCAAAATATCCTTGATGACTGTAGCTAGGGGAAGAGTTTCACATTGTTAGTTTGCATGTAGCAGGGTAAGATGCAATGAGAGCTGTTCTAGGAGGTCAGTATTGTTCTGACAACTGATATGGTGCCCCTCAAGGTATAGTTGTGTCACTTTTCCATGAGGACTGCAGTAGAAGTTTACAGATAATGGAAAGTCAGATCTTCATGGCTCCAACTTGGTACTCCATAAAGATAAGGTAACCGTTAGGCCTTATCAAAATATCAGCACCAGTTTAAATATGCTTAGTCTTGACAGAGCATAGGAAAAATTTCAGGTTAAACCTAGACATCAGAACAAAATGTGAGGTAATCTGATCAACTCAAGGTAATGTCTGGGCAAAGAAATTGTGAGTACTAACTGGTAAGGCAGAAAACAGAAAGTGAGCAGGAGATGCATCTAACACAGCCAAACAGCAGGAAAAGGAATGTGGGAATAGTGGAGGGGAGACTGATACGGGAGAAGGAAAAACTGACTGGGACTGACCAGGCAGGACAGATGGTAGACTAGGACAGAGGTGTGTGAAACAGGACTCAAACTCCAAAAGGAAAGAGGGAAAGGGAAAGGAGTCTCTGACAGCTAGAGCACTGGAGTGTGTGATACTCTCTTTTAGATTTTTTGGAAAGCGTGTATCTCCTCATCTTCTGGTGCTAGTACTCACAGAGGATTGCTACCATAACTACTAGAAATTATTTATTAGTGTAAACAACAGAGCCTGTGGAGTGCAGCTAGTGCTTTCAACCTTGCAGATGTGACCTGGATGGGTAATGTCACATAATGGAATTTCTGGAGAGGAGCTAATTAATGATATAAAGATTAGGAAGTAACATACAGAAAGCCTGATAGTCAATGTTTTCAGCTACATTGCAGTAGTTGTGAGTAAGGACATGGCAAATGCTCTTCTTGTTAGGTATCGTGATAAATATTTCAGTTGCGTGACCACATTCTACTTTTTCCAGAGGTACAGTGCAGTATCATAGTCATAGTACTGTCCTACATATTACAGTACACTAACATAATAATTGAGGATTATGTTATCCACAGAGTGAGGCTGAGTGAAGGTTTGCTGGTAGCTTTCGGTCTAGCTTCATTTTTTTATGTGTACTGGGCTTTACAACTTTAACAGTGATCTTTCAGCAACTGATTTCTGCGTATGTGTTGATATGCATGTGTAAAAAATATACAGTATTTTTTTTCTTTGCTCATCACTGGAGTTTTTCCATGTCTTTTAGTACTTCTGTAATCAATATATGGTATGCTTCCCAAGGTAGTTTGTGTATAGAGGAATGTTCGATAGGTCTTAGGTTTTGGATATCTGTTATACATGATGTATACTTATGTCAGGGAGAAAAGGGCTGAAGAGGTCTTACTCTTGCAGTATAGAGTAGTGATGTTTTGAGATAAAAAAATAAGCACTAGCACTACTTGCTCGAAGCACTGATTGTGAGAACTCTTTTCTTCATATTTTTGTAGGATAATTATGCTGTAAACAACATGATTATTTAATGGAGGAGTCTTCATGTACATAAAGCAGCTGAGAAACAGCTTCATCACTTTCTGTGTTCATTTTCTTTCTAGACATCTAAAGAAGGATTAGCAAAGGAGTGATGTTAAGTGGTGTTAAAGACTTCCTTTAAACTACTCTTCCGTTTTGCTGAAGTCTCTAAAGTTGTTACATCAGCAACATAAGTTAAATCTGCCCCACGAATGCTTTGTGTTGCATTCAGGTCTCATTGATTAGCTGTTGAGAGACCTTTGCAGCATGCACTGTAATTCTACTTGTGTGCTGTGCAGGCAAGTCCATAAATTTGAAGTTAGAGGAACATTAGGCAAACCAGTTCCATACATATAGTGTAAATGATAGAATTTCACCCACAGATTTTGGCATCAAACTCTGTTATAATGCCTGAACTAAAGCATTTCTTTGAATATGTATCTGGGGTCTCTTGGCTTGTGCGTCATATTGATGGCATGACTGCTTTCTGCTGATAGCACAAAGACTGACCCTAGAGCTGGTGACTCTGATTAGTGGAAGCTGCTTACCTAACTACTTTTTTTTTTCCAGGTATCTTGACTACCAGGGGGCACAAAGAACTATCCAACAAAAGAGGAGAACTTGTAATTATGAACAAACTGTTCAGAACTCTTCCTGATGAAGTCAAACATCTTGTACTTCAGCAGATGCTGTCTGATTACCAAAGGGACATTTGAAGGATTCCAGTGTGGGATAGTTTCAAGAGACCTCACTTGTGATATTTTCAGGGCGATACTGTTAGTGTAGTTTTGTTTACAGCATAAGCACTTTACAAGGAACATTTGGAAAGACGCTTCCAGGTTTGTACATTAGGTGCAAAACACAGCTCCCAAGGTACACATCTTCTATTTTTATGAAATATATTTAGATTTTCTGGAACTATATTTTAAAGCCTGTATCTTTTTTATATATATCCATTTATGTCTTTAATGGGAATAAGAAGAGCTTGGAGGTTGAGCTATCACCAAACAGCAAATTTATGTAGGTTCACTGTACCAGAATTAGAAACAGATTAAACCTCATCAACATGATTTTAATATTTAGAAATAGTTTATCTACTGCTGATATGACATGTTTGCATGGCATTTGCAACTGGCATAGCTTCTGATGGACCTGCTATTTTAAAAATAGCTGTTTTAACTGTTATTTCAGAGTGTCTGTGTATTATATGTCTATCTTTAGGCACCCATTGTATAGATATGAGTATATAAAGTGTGTGATACGTGTGTATACACACATTTACTGTTTAGCAGAGAGTAAATTAAATACAAGCTTTGCTGCTAATCAAAACTGTAGCACTTGAAAGCACTTTCAGAATTTCAATATTTATTTGCTCTATATTAAATGGAGATAAAAATGTCTCTGTGCAGCAGCACAGAGCTACCTTTTTTGTCCGCAGTTTGGTAAGGAATACTGGCAGTCACAACCACTGAAAGTAGCTGGACTGCATTGGAAGACATAGCCCTACTAACTCTGAAAACTGTTAACATAGTGGTCATCATATGATTATACGAAGTAATTTGTTACAGAGGTAGACTGTGTAATCTTTGTAGGTTGGGGGAATGATTTTGCAGTTTGTAACAGGTTTGTAACATATGATTAGTTAACTAGCCTTCATTTCCTAACAATCTAAGAATATTATTTCACCTATAATATGAGATGCAGTGAAAAATGGTCTGTGGGACAGTATGTAAAAAAAAAAAAAAAGAGTATCCATTGGTTGTATGTAGCATAGGAAGTTTCCAGCAGTTTCTCTACATCCATATACTGGTGCAGTCATGATAGCAAAAGCCCATTACGGACTGCTTTAAAAATCATATGAAGAAGGTAAAGTTAATTAAATGTCTTAAATGGGCTTTCATATAATGGAGGAAGTGCATACAGCTTTGTTAAACCTGATGGATTATAAAGTAAATCTATACTACATATAGCTGCCAATTGAACTGATTGTATTGATCGTTATTCAGAAAGACTTCATTTAAATTAAATCTTGATATGCTGCCCCTATTCATGTTGAATATTCATTCTCATGATAATTTTACATTCAAAATAGTATAAAATTGTCTTCACTTAAAGAAACCCATTTCAATATGTTTTGGTAGAAATATCATATGATTTAATTGTCATGAATGCCTTAAAATGCCATGGATCTTCTTACACATATGTTTTGGAGTAGCATAGTTTATTTAATCTGAATTTGTGTAATAATGTAAAGTGCTGCACTCCTATTTGACGCATTATTTTTGTTAAAAAAATAGATTATAATTAATGATTCTTATTGTGTTTATCTTAATATGTTTGTAGTGTTGTTGATTTTGAAGTAAATTTTGAATTGCCCTTTTTTTTTTTTTTTTTCCTTAAACCTCTGAAACATGCTAGACTGGCTGCCTCTGGTGGCCAACAGCAGAGAGCAGACCTGTCTCCAATAAACGGAAGATGGGTGGTAGATTTCATCAAGGCAAATCCAAGCAGGGAATCAGCAACCTTTTCTGTTTCTTTCCAGGAGTTCCCTAGGAATTTTTTTCTTCCATAGAGTTGCAACCAAACTGGCTTGCCCACTCTTTCAGAAAGGAACTGAGACATTCTTTTCAACTTTCTTTACTCTTTGGAGCAGAGACTCCAAGACTCCATTCTTTTCAACTTTCTTTACTCTTTATTTACAGGCACAGATGCTTAAAATTGAACATTTACTCTGTGTTGCTCCTGGTTTTAAAAGCAACATTTTGGTCGGATCAGGGTGCTGATGGGGAAATGGCTGCCTTAAAATGGCACACGGCTTTATGCTGTGTCCCTTGTGCTTTTGAAACGTGTTAAACATGGTTCAAATACGAAAAATTCAATATGAAAATTTTGTTACTCTGAACATTGGTGAAAACAATTGCTTGCCAGCTGGAAATTTAGCAATTTCTATTAAAATGGAGATTCTCCTGGGAATATCTGGATATTTAGTGAGGATAAATATGAAGAATGCTGACTTTATCTCTTCTCTTACACTATTTTTTGTGAATAGGAATTTGCAAATACCCTTTGGGCATCATTTTATGATAAAGAAATAGTTGTGTGTATCACTAGATTTAAACTATATTTTGCAACAGAGAACTTATGTAGTGGATTGTATTTTGTGATGTAATACTGCCTGGGAAGAGCTGCAAATAGTTTGGAAAATTTTGCAAGTGTACATCATCTAGATAACATATGGATGTTTAAAATAGTATGTGCTAGATGTATGCCATGAAATTCTAACCTGTAACCATGTACCTGTAATAGAATGGCTTCTGTTTTTAGTTTGAAAATACAAAATGTACAAAAAGTGTCATTACCCAAAGTGTTACTAATCTTGAGGCATTACTACATAGATGCCTTCCACTGAGACCAAGGCCCATTGCATTTGACATCGTATAAAAAGTCACAAGAGCTAGTCCTTCTATGAATAATTTATTGTTTAGGGAAACAGAAAACAAAAATAAGTTGCATGATATCATTCAGCAAATCTGTAGCAAACTTCAGAATACAGCATTCATCTGCAGAGCTTTAGTTCAGTGCTTAAGTGGTGCCCTTCAAGATAAGTATAGTTTTTTTGTGTGTGTTTGTAATCTTTACTGCTATATGCATGAAAAATACCATATCCAAGAACCAGGTGTAGATTTAGACGACTTGATTTTTCATAATAATGGTTTTGAAGGCAGTGGGTTTACCTACAGTTAACTGTGAATTTCTTGTATGGTAGTCCCAACTACGGCTCAGTAAAACCTTTCCTTCAGCTTGCATGGCTGCAGTAAAGTAACGGAGATCTTGGAGTACTGTGCCTTCTGTTTTTCCTCGCTGCACCTACCTTCTGCAGCCATCTGACTGCAGGTTCTTTCCCTGGCAAATAGACTGTATGTGGATTCTGTAGCCTGATTTATTCGTCTTTTGTTGTCTCTCAGTCATCTCCCAGTTCCCTGTCAAATCTCTGAATAATGGACTATTGACAGTAGATCAAACCATAAATCTTATTCTCTGTGTGAATTCTTGTTTGCAGTTGCAGAGTGATGTACTTAAAGACTGCATTTCTTAAAGTCATTCTGACTTTCAGGGCAGTTTTTTGACAGAATTGTTGCCTCATTATTTTTGATATTTCGTATCAAAACCATAGGTGACTAGCTCAAGATCTTATGAAATTGTGTTAATTAAAGAAGAAAGGCTGGCAATATTCCTTGCTAAAATCAAGAAAGCTATTAGCATTATCTTCTTCCAAGAGAATATTAGACACAATTTTAGCTTGTATATAATTTGTAGGAAATTCTAGCCAAGTTTTAGAAAGAACTGGCAATTTTAAGCCTCTCCGTTTCAGGAGAGGTGAGAAGAGGAAAGTGCTTGAAAATGTTTGATTCTGACTGTATGAATAGGCCACTGATTTGAATTTAAAAAGTCGGATCTGGAGGTTTTATCATTCAATCTCTCTAGATTTGCATTTGTAAAAGAGAGGTCTTCTGATTCATTTTGTCTCTTGTCTTGCAGGAAACTGAATTATACAACTCCTCTCTGTACAACCGTTCTCAACAAAAGATAGTGAGAATCATAATAAGAAAAATACTCATTTCAAAATACTTGACATTTGAATCCACAAATTTCCTAGAAAACTAGGATCTTGGTTTTGTTTCTACAATTAACTGACTATTCACTGCCATGTTTTTACCTCACCTACTCTCCAAGCAACACTACCAAGTTTTTAATTTTACCAACCAAAGCTATAATCCTTGAGTTAAACTATAAATAATCCAATTTAATTTGCTCAAAATTTAGATTTACAGCTACCGTATTGTCTTTCCTCTGCCTTTATCTCCACTCATGCAGTGTGAGCAAGTATAAAATGCTGGCAGTTATCCTTACCAGTGGAATGGGTGCTCTGCTACACTCACAGTCTTGTTTATAATGATGATGGTTTCTTCTTATTTCCTCTAGGATCCACTTGGAGTCATTTTTAGACATTTTGATATTTTTACACCTTTGCTCTTTATTCATTAATCCCCATTAATCCCCATTGCATCTGTTTACTGTATACGGTGCCTTTTATATGTATTAGATAGTACTTCTCTTTGTTACAGTTTGGCCAGCTCCAAGTGTGCATTTCTTTGGCCATGGGTGAGTTGTCCAGACAGAATGGCTCCATTAGAACTAGTTTTACTATTGCTATTGATGAAAAGATTATGTCAACTGTAAGGAATATGTTGTTGGAGAGTAGGAGATGGGATGATTTGCTGTGTGCAGCCCACTTACCTTTCTCACATCTCTTCTACCTGGTCCTCACGCAGTACAAGGATGGAGTTGTCCCACAGAGTACCTTTCTAACTGAGTTTCTTCAACAGTATTATGGGTATATGTTTGCAAATCCAATTTCTTTATACAGTCATTGAAATAATACGTTGCTTTTATTTTATTTAGGAAGTTTTTGTTGATTTATTTTAATTAGCAGTATCCAAAATCGAAAGGTTTACATTTCCTTAACTTGATCATGGTGATTAGTCTGTTGCCTTTCCTCAGAGCAGGTCATGATCCAAGCTGGAGTTACCCGGGATGATGAATCCTGGTGCAATGTGGCACTTTGATGCCGTTGGTCTGATGCCCTGGCCCACGGCCCATGACACAGCATATGCCTCAGGGGCTGTTTATCCAGTATCTG